TTAAAAGGTGCTTTTAAAATTCCTTAAGAAACAGCTCATATTATGATTCTGAATACTTTTGCTAAATAATAAAAAAAACAATAGTTAAATTGATGTCTTTACTCAATTACTGGAAGTGTTCCACCCTATGTTTATGTTCCTTAATAGTTTGTCTATTTCTTCCTTCTTTCCTTTCTTCTCTTTGTCCTTTCCTCCTCTCTCTCTCTCTTCCCTCACTCCTCTTGTTCTTTACTTCATCTTTTGTCTCTCACTCCATCTCTCACTACTTCCCTCCCTCTCTCCATTTCTTGATAGGGAGAGGTTTGGTCATGAGGAGATAGGAGCTGAAAATGGAAAGAAGGAGAATCGCACAGCAACTGGTGAATTATTTAAATTCAGTGCATTCCTTGATGTACGTATGTCACTACCTTACTACTTATCATTGTTTTGTATTTGAAACTGAAATGTGTAAGCATATCCACTTAAAGTTAGCATTTTTCCTTATATTGAGATTTTTTATAAATTCCTATGATTAAAGTACCTCAATAAGTACCTTATTTTCAATTTTAATCTACATGTAGTTCATGATTTTTTATTGAAAATTGTTATAGAAAAGTCTGTTATTATTATTTGCATATTCTTGAGCTTATTTTGACTGATAGGATAACATTTTTTGCAAATGAATCATTAAATTTTGCAGAATTGGCTTTTTTATTTATTGGGCTATAGTAGTATTTTATTTATGCATAATAAATATTTTCTTGCATATTATTCTTATAGCGATACAATACCAGTGATATATACATGGTTGGTGACATGCCTCTGAGTATGCAGGAGGAATGGTCTATTCCTAGTTTCTTAATATGTGGTGGCTACACTGAGAACCTTGCATTTATAAATGTATGGTAAGTATGAGCACCTTTACATACACACACTCTTTCTTTTCTTTTTAATTATTTTTATCTTGATAGTCATTTCCAAATTATCATAATTTATTATTTTTAAATGTCTTGATTTCATTTATTGTTATCTTTATCTTCTCTCTCTGTAGGTTCAGCAGTGGTGGTACTAAGTCAGTCCTTCACACTGATAGTATGGAGAACTTTCATTGTGTTGTCTCCGGGCATAAAGTTTTTGTCATGTTTGAGCCTCTTTATTCTGAAGCCATTGGACCAGAACACAAGAACCTAGGATACTATCACATTGATGTTGGCACGTAAGAGAAATACTTTTGATAAGGCTTTGAAGCACACTATAAAATAGTCACTGCAATGTAAAAATTTCCTGCAGCATAATTGCTGTTCTGTTGGTCTTAATAATAATATTATTTACTTACCTAAAAATAAACTTTCTGTTTACACAAGGGCATCTGTTTTCCAGACGTTGACCTGCTTCCAATCAAACTTGGATTGTTAATGAATTTTTTCAAAATTTGGCCAACAACCATTAGTAATTTAGTACTGGGTATTACGTTAAAATTGAAAGAGTTCTTTATTTTTATAATTTTTAAACATAAAAAAGTTTGATCAGATTTCAATCAAATTAAATTTTTTTAACAATTTTTAATTTTGCTCAAAAATTAGACAAAATACCATGAATTATAGTATGGGGACTTTTATCAAGAATGCCTTCGAGATTATTATTTTTAAAATAATTTTTTCTGATGTATATTCACCTTCTTACATTGTTTAGAAAGTTTACACTAATTCAAGCAAGTTTGGATCTTTTACGAATTTTAAAGCTGCTAAAAATCAGGTAAATGACCCTGTACTACAGTACAGGGTTTTCAGCCAAAGTTTTTAAAAACAGATTGGAAAGAATTCTCTATTTTTATAATTTTTTAATGCATATATGTGTTTTTATGTTGCGTAGGTGGTTTAAGTTAATTCCGAGCAAATTTGGTTTTTTTATAAATTTTTTAATTTGCTCAAAAATTCTGCTTCAGCCTATTTTCATTGAAAATGGCTAGGAGAGAATTTTTCATTTTACATTTTTTCTGATGCATATACCAGGGTACATGTTTTATGTAGTTTAGTAAGTTTAAGTTGATTCCAAGTAAATAAAAATTTTTAAATTTGCTCAAAGTATAGGGCAAGGTTTTGGACTCAATTTTGACAAAAACTTGTAGGAGATAATTCTACATTTTAATAATTTTTCTGATACATTTACATGTTCTAATGCTTAACTACATGTATGTATGTATGAGATTCTGTTGCCATGACCACTGAATGATTTGTTACTTTATTTTTTAGACAATTTCAGCAAGGATACTGAACTATTTCAAAAACAAGCAGTCCAAATGAGGTGAAAATATAGGAACAAAATTATAAGGTAATTTTAAAGTTACAATGAAAGTATTACACACATAAAGGACCCTATAACATTGTGAGTCTTGGTGCAAGCTGTGTACATTATTTTATTTTTTGATGCATATTGACGTCCTTATGTTGTGTAGAAAGTTTGAGCTAATTCCGACTTCAATTTTTCAAATTACGGCCATTTTATAAAAATGTTAAAATTCTGAAAAATACCCATGTTTTTTCCAAAAATGGCTCCAAAATCATCAATTTTTTTTTTAATTATTTGATACACATTGATTTCCTCATGCTGTGTAGAAAGTTTGAGGTAATTACAACTTAAATTTTTCAAGTTATGGTCATTATAAGAAAACACTAAAATTCTGAAAAGTACCCAACGCTATAGCCCATAGTTTTTCAAGAAAATTGGTCCTAGATCAACTCAAATTTTTTTTACATTTTCTGCTGCATATTGATGTCCTTATACATGTATATGCTGTGTAGAAAGCTTGAACTGATTCCGACTTCAATTTTTAAAGTTACGGCCATTTTAAGAAAACGCAAAAATTTTGAAAAGTATCCAAAGCTATATCCCATGGTTTTTTTTCAAAAAGTGGCTCCGAAATGACCCCAAAATTTTCTGATACATATTGATGTCCTTATGCTGTGTAGAAAGTTTGAGCTGATTCTGTCTTCAATTTTTCCAGTTATGGCCATTTTAAGAAAACGCCAAAATTTAGAAAAGTACCCAAGGCTATAGCCCATGGTTTTTTTCAAAAAATGGCTCCGAAATTGCCCCAAATTTTTATTACATTTTCTAATACATATTGATGTCCTTATGCTGTGTAGAAAGTTTGAGCTGATTCTGACTTCAATTTTTCAAGTTACGGCCATGTAAAAAACACCAAATTTTGAAAAGTACCCAAGGATATAATAGCTAGCCCATGTTTTTTTTTCAAAAAATGGCTCCGAAATCACCCCAAATTTTTATTGCATTTTCTGATACATATTGATGTCCTTATGCTGTGTAGAAAGTTTGAGCTGATTCTGACTTCAATTTTTCCAGTTACGGCCATTTTAAGAAAACGCTAAAATTTAGAAAAGTACCCAAGGCTATAGCCCATGTTCTTTTCCACAAAATGGCTCTAAAATCAATCCAAATTTTTATTACATTTTTTGATACGTATTGATGTCCTTATGCTGTGTAGAAAGTTTAAGCTGATTCCGACTTCAATTTTTCAAGTTACGGCCATTTTAAGAAAACGCCAAAATTTTGAAAAGTACCCAAGGCTATAGCCCATATTTTTTTTCAAAAAATGGCTCCGAAATCACCCCAAATTTTTATTACATTTTCTGATACATATTGATGTCTTCATGCTGTGTAGAAAGTTTGAGCTGATTCTGACTTCAATTTTTCAAGTTACAGCCATTTAAAAAAACACCAAAATTTTGAAAAATAGAGATAAAGAGAATGCAGTTACTAGTTCTGATCTGATATTATACTTTATTGTTTTGTGGTTTGTAGGTAGTTAAAGAGACCAGATGGATCTATACATGCTGAAGATGTCAAGAATGTTCCCTGAGCCATTTTTGACGAAATACAATGTATTGTATTAGTGTTGGGGCATTTGCCATCCCTTGAACTTAATTCATTGATCACTGATTTGCCCAGTTTATCACAGTTCATACACTGATATCTGTTATATTAGTATTTTTATAAGCAACTGGCTTGTGTCGCATCATTTTGTTGATGGTACTTTAAAATTAGTCTGGGCCCCAGCCCCTTCGCTTTGAGAGGAAGGGTCTGGTATCACTAGCATCACCCACTCGTTCTGGTGGAATGCGGAAATGACTTATTATGACAATGTACTAGAGTAGAATTATTATTATTCATAGTGTTACAACAATAATAATGAATACTGATAAGTGTTAAATGGCACGTGTAGTCTTGATGGAGTCTTTCTTCCTACTGTCTTGGCTGTGGAAGCCCTAATGTACCAGCATATAATCGCCGTAAACTCTCAAGTAAAGTTAGTGGAGATGTTAAAGATGCTTGGAAGCATAAACAGCCATATTTTAGCTTGGAAGCATAAACAGCCATAT